AGAAACATAAAATACCGGATGCACACTTGACAAGCTGGGTGGCAAAGCAAGCTCATAAGCCACCTCCCCAATCCTGCGAAGCACCTCAAAGGGCCTAATGAACCGAGGACTCGATTTCCCTTTCTTCCCAAATCTCATAACATCCTTTATGGGTGAAACCTTCAACAAAACCTTCTCGCCAACCATGTAGGACACATCCCGAACCTTCCTGTCAGCATAACTCTTCTGCCTCGACTGCGCTGTATGAAGCCTCTCCTAAATCACCTTCACCTTGTCTAAAGCATCCTGCACCAAGTCTGTACCCAATAGCCTAGCCTCACCCGGCTCAAACTAACCAACTGGAGATCTACACCACCTCCCATACAAAGCCTCATACAGAGCCATCTGAATACTCGAATGGTAACTGTTGTTATAAGAAAACTCTGCGAGCGGTAGAAACTGATCCCATGACCCTCCAAAATTAATGGCACAAGCATGCAACATGTCCTCTAATATCTAAATAGTGCGCTCGGACTTCCCGTCCGTTTGAGGGTAAAAATCTGTGCTCAACTCCACCTGAGTACCCAACTTTCGCTGCACAGACCTCTAAAACTGTGAAGTAAACTGAGTGCCCCTATCTGAAATGATGGAAATTGGGATACCATGCAAACGAACAATTTCTTGGATATAGATCTCTGCCAACCATTCGGAAGAATAGGTAGTACACATAGAAATAAAGTGTGCGTACATGGTCAGTCGATCCACAATCATCCAAATAGCATTGAACTTCTTCAAAGTTCGTGGGAGCCCAACTACAAAGTCTATGGTGATCTGCTCCCACTTCCACTCTGGAATATCCATCCGCTGAAGCAAGCCATCCGGTTTCTAATGCTCATATTTCACCTGCTGACAATTGAGACACCGAGCCACAAATCCCACAATGTCTTTCTTCATTCTCCTCCACCAATAATGCTATCTCAGATCCTGATACATCTTCGCGGCACCTGGATGAATGGAATACCGCGAACTATGGCCTCCTCCAGAATCAACTCCTAAAGCCCATCCATATTGGGCACACATATCCGGCCCTGCATCCTCAATACCCCATCATCACCAATAGTCACATATATGGAATCATCATGCTGAACTCTGTCCTTGAGGACAAGCAAATGAGGATCATTATGTTGGCGCTCTCTGATGCGATCATATAAGGAAGACCGAGAAATCACACAAGCCAATACCCGACTGGACTTCAAAATATCTAACCTCATGGACCGATTGGCCAAGGCCTGAACATCCACTGTAAGAGGTCTCTCCCAGACTGGAATATATGCCAAACTCCCCATACTCACCGCCTTCTGGCTCAAAGCATCGGCTACCATATTGGTCTTTTCCGGATGGTACAAAATAGTAATATCATAATCCTTTAGCAACTCCAACCATCTACGCTACCTCAAATTGAGATCCTTCTGTTTGAATAAGTGCTGGAGGCTACGATGATCAGTAAACACCTCACAAGACACACCATACAAATAATGCCTCTAAATCATCAACGCGTGAACAATGGCAGCCAACTCCAAATCATGAACAGGGTAGTTCTTTTCATGGGGCTTTAATTGACGAGAAGCATAATCAATAACTCTACCCTCCTGCATCAACACACACCCAATACCAACTTTCGAAGCATCACAATACACGGTATATGAACCTGAAGCTGATGGTAACACTAACACTGGAGTTGTAGTCAAGGAGATCTTGAGCTTCTGAAAGCTCTCCTCACTCTCGTCCGACCACTTAAATAAAGCACCATTCTGAGTCAACTTGGTCAAGGACGATGCGATAGATGAAAATCCCAGAACAAACCGATAATAATAGCCTGCTAAACCAAGAAAGCTATGAATCTCTGTAGCTGAGGACGGCCTGGGCCAACTCTGGACCACCTCTATCTTCTTTGGATCAACCTGAATACCCTCGTTGGACACCACGTGCCCCAAGAATGCCACTGAACTAAGCCAGAACTCACACTTGGAGAGCTTTGCGTAAAGCTTCTCCTCCCTCAATCTCTACAACCCAACTCTCAAATGCTCCGCGTGCTTCTCCTGACTACGCGAATACACCAGAATATCATCAATGAAAACTATGATAAATGAGTCGAGATACGGCCGGAACACGCTGTTCATCAAGTGTATGAATGATGTTGGAGCATTGGTCATCCCAAAAGACATTACCAAGAACTCATAATGACCATATCGGGACCTGAAAGCCGTCTTAAGAATATCCAAATCCCTGATCTTTAGCTGGTGGTAACCTGAACGGAGATCAATCTTGGAGAATACTCTCGTTCCCTGAAGCTGGTCAAAAAAATCATCAATGCGAGGCAAAGGATACTTGTTCTTAATTGTAACTTTGTTCAACTGTCTATAATCAATGCACATCCTCATAGTGTCATCCTTCTTCTTCACAAATAGAACTGGCGCACCCCAAGGCGACACACTAGGCCGAATGAACCCCTTGTCAAGGAGTTCCTGAAGCTGCTCCTTTAACTCCTTCAACTCCTCTGGTGCCATGCCATACGATGGAATAGAGATGGGTTGAGTGCCCGGCACCAAATCTATACCAAAATCAATATCCCTGTCCGGTGGCATACCCATCAGGTCTTGAGGAAACACATCAGGAAAATCCCTCACAACTGGAACAAAATTAATACTGAGAGTCTTTGTACCAATATCCCTCACAAAGGCTAAATATGAGAGACAACCCTTCGCAACCATACGTTGGGCCTTCAGAAACGAAATAACCCTACTAGGGACGAAATTAGTAGAACCCCGCCACTCAATTCGTGGCACTCCCGGCATAGCCAACATCACTGTCTTAGTGTGATAGTCCAATATAGCATGACATGGAGATAGCCAATCCATGCCCAATATGATATCGAAACCACCATACATAATAACAAAAGATCCACTCGGGTCTCTAGACCCCCATCATACAGGACCGGTACACACGGTCTACAACAACAGTATTGCCTACCGGAGTAGATACACGAACAGGTGAAACAAGAGACTCACGGGGCGTATCCAAATAAATAGCAAAGTATGATGACACATAAGAAAAGATGGAACCATGATCAAATAACATAGAGGCATCTCTGCGGTAAACTGAGACAATACCTATAATCACAATATCTGAAGCAGCAACATCTGATCTACCTGAGAGGACATAGAAATGAGCCTGACCACCACCTGATCGACCTCACCCTCTAGGGTGACCCCTAGCTGACTGGCCCTAGCCCCTAGCTGCCTGAGCGGGTGGTGAAGTGACTGGAGCTGAAGTCGAGGGCTGACCCCTCTGCTGAGACTGACCCTCAAGAAGACGAGGACACTGCATCCTCATATGCCCAAACTCCCCACACTCATAACAACTCCCTAGTGCTGGAGATGGGTACTGAAGGGAACCCTTGGCACCGGAATGACCAGTAGAAGGATCTGGCATGGAAGAACCCTAAACTTATGGAGCACGGGATGAACCTGGGCTGGAAGCGCACTGAGTGATGAATGGCCCTGATGAGAACTGTGAGAACCATGACTCGATAATGCCCCATGATAACCTAGGCGAGCCGACTGAGCCTGCCTAAATGGACGGCCTCTGCTGTGCTGAAACTGACCCCTCAAAGGACCACTACCAAAGCTACCAGATCCCCGAGGCCTCTTGTCCTACCTCTCCTCTCGCTCTTGGCGACAAACCGACTCAATCTCACGGCGAACCTCCTCAAAAGTAGCACCTAACACTCGTTCCCTAGTCATGAGAATCCGAAGGTAATATGTGAGGCCATCAACGAACCTCCTGATCCTCTCACGATCTGTGGGAACCAGCCAGACCGCATGACGAGCTAACTCAAAGAACCGCATATCATACTGTGTTACAATCATCTCTCCCTGACGCAACTGCTCGAATTGCCTACGCAGCTCCTCTCGACGAGACTGTGGCACATACTTCTCCAAAAAGAGAACAAAGAACTGCTGCCAGGTAAGGGGCGTTGCACCAACATGCCTACGCCTCTCATAAGCCTCCCACCAAGTGAAGGCAGCTCCAGAAAACTGAAAGGTAGTGAAAGCGACCCTATTGGTCTCCAGAATACCCGTTGTACAAAGCATTCTCTGACACTTATCCAATAAACCCTGAGCATCCTCGCCCTCAGTACCGCTAAAAGTCGGAGGCTGAAGTCTACCAAATCTCTCTAATCGATGCTGCTCGTCGTCAGGCATAACTGGTACCACATACTCCTGAGTTGGTGCAACCGGCTGGGCTGGAGGTGCCCCCGGTGTCTGAAATCCCTGCACAACCTGCTTAGGTGTGCTAGCAATGAAAGTCTGGGTGCCTCCCCCGGCCTGAGAAGTAGCTGCAGCCGTAGTAACTGAGACCGCCTGAGCCAAACCAGTACACACTGATTAAATCTGAGCTAAAGCCTCCTGAAGGCCTGGAATCATAATAGGCACAACTAGTGCCTAAGCTGGTGCTGCTGGAGTGTCCGTAATTGGGACTTGATCCTGAACTGGGCCAGCTAGTAGATCTGCAAGTACTGCCCTAGCTGTTGTGCGGGCGACACCCCTGCCCTACCACGGCCTCAACCACATCCTCGGCCTCTAGTGGACCCAGCTGGTGGTACTGGTGGTCATCCATCCTGACCGGTAGCACGTGTCCTCACCATATGTTAGAGAATGAAATAACATAAGTTTAGTACTCGGATCAACAGATTCGCACGATAAGAATTTCAAGAATATAAAGTTTTTCCTAAAGGTTATGCAGCCTCTCGAGGATAAATACAGACGTCTCTGTACCGATCTGCGAGACTCTACTAAACCGGCTCATGACTCGTGAGACCTATGTAACCTAGGCTCTGATACCAATTTGTCACGACCACAAATACCCGATCATGATGACGCCTATCACATTATTAGGCAATCCGACCCAAACCATTAATCACAACAAATTTCTTTTATAAAACCATTTTCTAACACTGGTTTAAATCTCAATTTTCATAAAAAAATGTATAAAACAGCTAAAAATATGCGGAAATCAATAAAAACATTAAACCAACACAGACCAAACATCCGGTGTCACGAGTCTAGAGCCTCTAAATATACAAATTTGACTGTCTAATATATAACAAGTCTAAAATGCGGGAAAACAAGGATAAGAGGAAGAAAGCAGGGTTGCGGACGCCATGCAGCTACCTTGTAATCTCCGACAAACTCTGACAATGCTGAGGACCCTCACTCTGCCGCTCGGGCACCTGGATCTGCACACAAGGTGCAGGGAGTAACGTGAGTACGCCAACTCAGTAAGTAACTAAAGTTAATAAGGTCTGAAAGCAGTGACGAGCAGTTTAAAAACATATAGAAGAATGAACGACAAATTATCAAGTTAAACTCAATAGTTTTAAAACTAGTTTCTTCATAAAACTTCAGTTTCATTTGAAATACCTTGAATTCATTTACTTAGCAGTTTTCAACAGAGGCTTATTTTAAAAGAAGAGTGAAATCAGCAAAAATATCATAAATGCCCTTGGGCATGGTATCACTCATAAATATAGCCTCTCAGGCAAGCCTCTCAGTCACTCGTGACTCAGCTCTCGTCACTCAGCACTCAGGCTCAAATACACCTCATAATAGTAATAATCATTGTAACCATTGCGGCGTGCAGCCCGATCTATAGTTTTTAGTCGACTACGCTCACTGGGGGGTACAGACTCCAAAGGGGCTCCTACAGCCCAAGCATCATATCGTTGTGGCGCGCAGCCCGATCCTATATATATATATCACTACGGCGTGCAACCCGATCCATATAAATATTACTGCGGCATGCAGCCCGATCCATAATATTTATAGTCCTCACCATTAGGTCATCAACCTCTCTCAGTCATTAACCTCACAGCCACTCAGGCGTAACCGTAGAAATTAGGGAACTCAGTCCTAACAGTTCTCACATTAAGAATTAGAGTGATAAAACCATTTTAAAACAATAAACAGGTAAAATATGACTGAGGATATGCTTTTAATCAAATGGAGTGAGAAAAAAATAGTAAAATGCCCCTAAGGGTCTCAACAGGTCGGTACAAGGCCCATAACATGGCATACAACTCATAATACAGTATAAATGTCTAAAATATGAGATATTATAAGGTTTCAAATAAAGTACGCAGCTTAATAGTCTCTACGGGATGGACCAAGTCACAATCCCTACCCATGCACACCTACACGCTCGTCACCTAGCATGTGCGTCACCTTATTTATTAAAACAATTCGAAATACGGGGGTTTTGTACCCTCAGTTCCAGATTTACAATGGCTACTTACCTTAAACGGGGTGACTTACTACTCCGCGATGCCTTTGCCTCTCACATTGGCCTAACTCGTGCCGAATCTACCCAAAAATCATAATCATAACATTAGAATATGCTAAAGTATCGAAGCCCAAGCAAAAATAATTAAATTATACCAAAAATCCCCGAATTGGCCAAACCCGACCCCCGGGCCCACTTCTCGAAACTCGATAAAAATCACATCAACGGAAATCTTTATCCTCCCACGAGTTATGGCTATCCAACGGGATGGGATGGGACGAGACCAAATTAACGGGACGACATTTAAGTGGGACTGTGGCGGGACGGGACGAAATGGGACGGGACAAACGGGGTGAAACATTGATCTCATCCCGTCCCGCTAACAAACGGGATGGGACGGGACAGGACGGGACGGGACAGGTTCGTGGGCCTTAAGTGTATTTTTTTTTAAAAACGTCTAGTTTTTTGAAAATTACTATGTTTTTAAAGTTTGCAACGGCTAGATTTTTGACTTATTTAATAAACTTAAATGTTACTATGTTAAAATGAAAATTAGAAAACTAAGTAAAGAATTATAAATTATTAAAACAAAAGACTTGTAATGAAATATTTTAGTAATTATAAATTTATAATAGAGTTATAATTTATTTACTATAATTTCAAAGTATTAACTATTAAGTAACTAAGACAATTCATAAATAAAATTCAACGCTTAGAGCCTTTTATTTTATTAATAGAACTTTCAAATCTCAAATACAAATATAATTCTTTTGAAGA